ATTGAACTTTAGTATTTTAGTTAATATTATGTAAAAAATCTACAACAACAAATTGCATATAAGTACTTACATACATTTAGTAATAGTTACATTTAAATTTCGTATGGATACAGTACTACTCAGTATTAACTTCATTTTTTAAGTACAGTTTGTCAACATTGTGTTTGCAAAACGAAAAAATGTTACAAATGTTTGTTAAATGCCCAATAAAAACGATTTAATTTTGAAATAAAAAAAAAATTAAAAAGTTTACAATTAATTTAAACATTTTTCTTTATATTAAACTAAAAATTAATCAAAAATATCGTTAGAACAATAAAATAATTCACAAAAACAAAAATAACACCAAATTTGTTGTGTCAACATTGTGTTTGCAATTTTGCAATTTCTTATTTTTAACGGGACAGAATACCGTTCGATGTGTCTGGGTTTTTCTGTTTGTTTTAATATTCTGCAAAAACTGTTCAATTTCTTTGTTATTTAATAAAGTAGAGTGTTTTAAGTGAAGGAATAACTAGAATACACGTGATTAAATATGGCCTGTAAAAGAACAAATTCAAATAATATTGAGTTATTATGTTATAATTACTACCTCGGTAAATCTGCTAAGGAATAAAGTCTAACGTTTAATATTAGGTTAAGAACAATTAATAATATCATAAACAAAACAGAAAATGAGGATTGCATTAGTTTAAAACCAGCAGGCCACCGTATTAAACCATTGTCTGATCGCCATATAAGAAGAGTATTGCGAATAATTGATAAAAATCCTTGAATTTCCTTACGATCATTGGCATTAGGTCTGGAGAAGCTATTTAATATTGTTGTTAGTCACAAGGCAATAAGAAAAGTGCTATTACAAAACATTTATTCTTCGTAAGTTGCACGTAATACACCGTTGTTATCTATTCAAAAAATTGAAAAACGATTTCAGTTTGCTAGCACACATTTAAAATATGTTTCAGAATACTAAGATGATGTGATTTCTTGGGACGAAGTGGAAATCAAGCTTTATTATAATGCATGACCCACACAAACATGATAATAAAGCATAATGTCCCAGAAAATCACATCATCTTAGTACTCTGAAACATATTTTAAATGTGTGCTAGCAAACTGAAATCGTTTTTCAATTTTTTGAATAGATAAAACGGTGTATTACGTGCAACTTACGAAGAATAAATGTTTTGTAATAGCACTTTTCTTATTGCTTTGTGACTAACAACAATATTAAATAGCTTCTCCATACCTAATGCCAATGATCGTAAGGAAATTCAAGGATTTTTATCAATTATTCGCAATACTCTTCTTATATGGCGATCAGACAATGGTTTAATACGGTGGCCTGCTGGTTTTAAACTAATGCAATCCTCATTTTCTGTTTAGTTTATGATATTATTAATTGTTCTTAACCTAATATTAAACGTTAGACTTTATTCCTTAGCAGATTTACCGAGGTAGTAATTATAACATAATAACTCAATATTATTTGAATTTGTTCTTTTACAGGCCATATTTAATCACGTGTATTCTAGTTATTCCTTCACTTAAAACACTCTACTTTATTAAATAACAAAGAAATTGAACAGTTTTTGCAGAATATTAAAACAAACAGAAAAACCCAGACACATCGAACGGTATTCTGTCCCGTTAAAAATAAGAAATTGCAAAATTGCAAACACAATGTTGACACAACAAATTTGGTGTTATTTTTGTTTTTGTGAATTATTTTATTGTTCTAACGATATTTTTGATTAATTTTTAGTTTAATATAAAGAAAAATGTTTAAATTAATTGTAAACTTTTTAATTTTTTTTTTATTTCAAAATTAAATCGTTTTTATTGGGCATTTAACAAACATTTGTAACATTTTTTCGTTTTGCAAACACAATGTTGACAAACTGTATGTGATTACCAAGTAGAATTAAACTAAAGTAGTGTTATGGAGCCCAATTATGGGGTACTGCAGCAGACTCAAACCCGGCAATTATCCAGCGTTTCCAATCTAAAACATTGCGAATGATCACAAATGCACCTTGGTATATAACGAATGAACAGCTGCATAAACAATTACATGTTCGGGCAATCAAGGAAGAAATAGCCAGTATTTTAAAGAATTACGCTCATCGCATATATATGCGCCCAAACCCGCTGGTTATACACCTGATGTCCCCTTCCAACACTTTTACAAGGCTGAGAAGGAAAACATCGAGAGATATTTTAGATATGTTTCACACACTGTTTTTTTAAATATATATGGATTTGTCACTGGGCATAGTCCATACGTGTCTTTCTTTTTTTTAGATCGTAATAATTATTATTACGATTTATAATTATATATATTACTTATTGTCATTCATACCTGACAGATTGTAATAAAATAAATGGATTACAAAAAAAAAAAATGAAACTCTTAATAAAGTTATGAACCAGTACAGTTTTTGCCATTACATATAGATATATTAATAGCATCAATAGAATATAATAGAACTTAAACTAGCAACAAAATTAGATGCCTCCAATTTATTAATCAGATATCATCGTTAATCGAAGGTGAATAACTTTTTATCACTAAATTATTTGTATAATTTCTGTTGGATCAAAAGACTTAAAACACTATACACTTACAAAAAAAATTTATTAGAATTTAAGAGATCAAAAAGAGATCCCTTCACGCAAATAGAAAACATTTGGAACCTTATCTGGTCTAACACTAGGTACTACAATTTTAAGTTGTGTACAAAATAGTCCAACAGTTGTGATAATTTTTATCACTGTGAACAAGGCGTACACGTAGTGATAATCTGATCTTAATGTAGTGGACTTGCTTAATCATTTTTCCTTCTAAATTATTTAGTTTGAAGAGAAAAAAAATTGTAGTTAATTTTGTTAATTATGTGGAACTGTATTTGTAGGGCTTCTGGCAGTACTTGCTGATTGCATATGAAGAACAAAATTCCAAGTCAGAAGTTGGTTGTGCGAATAAAGTTTGTAGCCACAAAATACGTTCAAAACACATTTCGTTGAACATTTAATGTGCAATTTTATTTGTCTTGCATATTTGGTGTTAATTGTAAAAAGCTAAGATATTTAACATATACCAATGGAATTAAAACCAGAAGCGCAAAAACTCAAAACGAACAAGATCGGTGCTAAATGATCACTTCGTTGCGGTGAGGACAAAAAATTACCGGTAGCAATAAATCAAACTATCAATTGAATTCCAAAAGTGATCATCACTAGTGCCAAGCGATTTCTTCGTTTGATTCCACGCACTAGTGGTTTTTGTGCACATTTGTGCAATTCATCGTACCCCGATCTACTCCGCTTCTCTGAGTATCAATGAAGCTACAATTATGATAGCATTAAATGGGCAGCAGAATGGAAAGGGGCTGCAGTGTAATTTCGAAGCAATATGCGCCAGTGTTTAAGCCGATTTACCAATTCAGTGAAACGAGTGATGCTCGTACGCACAAATAAATCATTGTAAGATCAAGTTGACATCCGTGCTATAAGCGGAGCACCGAGAGAAACAAACAGTTTTGAGGCAAATACTTGCCAATAATTCGATACTCGCAAAAAGGAAAGACACTCGAACGCATATAAATAATAATAAGAAACAGACGCGCCGCACCATCCGATCCTATCCGATCCGCAAAATTGCGACAAGCGAACGCTGCGACGCGACGCGACGCGGCGGCATAAATCAAGAAATACCTGCAAACAACAATTGACCAAACACGACGCAGCAACAAATTGCAGCACAATTGTATAGCCGGCGCATGTACTAGTGGCAGCAGTTAACCACAGTGTGGCATGATGAACTACTACGCTACTACGCTACTCCGAAATGCGCAAAAAGTGCACAGAGCAACAGCAACAGCAACAGCAACAACAACAACGAAAAGGAAAATTACTCAACGCAAATAAACGGTGGCAACATGCAGCCACTTATGGCACGTAAACATGAAAGCACATTAAATTAGCGAAATAGGATGACCAGCCATGATTTGCTGTAATTCGCTGTCTGTGGAATGCAGAAATCTGCACAAGGTTGATGTGGCAAAAGGCAGCATTTGTGGGTATTACAATTAGAGAAAGACAGCCAACAACAGCCAACAACAGCCGGCAACAGCCGGCAATAACCAACAGCCTTCTACATGGTAAATCAATAATTTATAAAGATTTTTACTCACTTCTCATCGCAAACTTTGCCAATCGCAGTCAACATGACTTTTGACGCTTTATTACTTTTCGATGCATAGTATTCGTATTACATAGTACATAGTACATACAGCATAAAAAGCAGTGGCAGATACATTTCTCCAAATATCCAAACTACCATAAATGCTTTGTATCCACTTTATATTATCAGAAGATATCTTGCAATTATCTTAGGTATGTTGAAAAAGAAGTGTACAAATACCATTACCATCGACATCGAAAAAAGTTAAATTGACTACAGAATGGGCAGTTCCCGCGATCAGATAAAATGTCAATTTGTACATAAAAGCTTCTACGTCTGAGGAATTTCAAAATGACCAACTGTTTGAAAAGGCATTCGAAATTTCAAAAATTCTTGGCAAGTGCTGAAATTAGCACCGACAACATGACGAGGTGTCGAAGTCAATTGCTGCCACCCGAGCGGTGATAAGTGCGTTCTGTGCCAGAAGCTTCATAATGCCCTTATATGACAAGTCATCAACATTTTTAGCCAGGATCAGTTAATGATTGCGACAACATTTTGTCCTGACAAAGTAAAATACGTTTGACTCATAAGCTGCGCTACAATTGTTGCTACTGCTTTCTGTAGTTTATTGATTCTACTTGCCGAGAATTCCATGATTTTAATTTGTATTTTAGGATATTTGCTAATGTTTTTTAAACGAGAACGAGAACGAGAAAGAAAGATTAAGCTTACATATCAATACAAAAATCTACTGATGAGTGTTATGTACCATTATTTTTAGTAACGACATATCTTTTTTCTACCTTTTCAGTGGGCTTAGCAAATCCACCTCAGCATAGTGTCGCTCCAAATCAAGCTCCACTCAGTGGTATTTTTTCAAATGGTCCTCCTTCGCCTGCAACACTAAATGCTCTAGTCTCCCAGCATAGGCTACTCGAACTGTCACGGTTTGGTTTGCGAGGATATGACCTGGCTCAACATATGCTAACTCAGCAAGGCGCAGTTTCGAAATTACTTGGTAAGCAAATTTATTAACAGTGACTCTATATAAGTTAATTTTATATTTTTATATAAAATTTTTACATTTTCTTGAAAAATGTAAATTGTAAAATTTATTAAAAACAAATAAATTTGTACTATAAAATTACATTTAGTTTAAAACACAAATAAAAGAAAACGCGGTTACTTCTTTGCCTACCTGATTGTACTTGTCTAAGCAGATGAATAAACCCAGCCTCCTATAATATAGTACACTGTGTGACCATATTATAGATAAAACATAAGCATATCTAGTTTATTAGGATCATTTTTCCCTTATATTTATATGGATTTAAAAGCTTTTCTTAATGTATAGATTTCAGTATACCATATAAACAATATAGATAAAGAAGCCCATAAATACTTTATAAATCCTCACTACAGAATATAAACAAAGCCATAAAATGTAAAGTTTTAAAGATTTCATTAATTTTTTTTGTTGGCCCCAGTGTGATTTTTGGATCGATTATAGTCTCATATACTCAGAAAACACTACTAAAAAATTTACGAATATTTGGACTAAACAGAAATGTGTTAAGTAAATATTCTGATGTGATCCACAGTATATAAAAAAAGCTCTTAGAAAAACATTGAGTTAAAAATGTCAAATATTATTAATATATTATAAATCAAACTATACTATCGTTTGCTCATATGTTATATAGATTAATAGATATTTCTATTTCTATGCTTCGCCCATTTTTTTGCTTTTAAGAATACACTTGTTGTTGACTTGTCCGCATATACCAGTGACTTATCCAATGAATATACTATCGCCAGTAGAATGTCATTTCTGGACATAATATGGTTATAGTACACTTCTTTAAATAACTCCTTGATTTCTCTGACAATATAACATGTGACATAATCTTGTTAAAAACAAAAGCCGTCCATGTCGTGCTCACACACATAATAAAAAAAAATTGATGTCCAAGAGACTGTACAGCATACCAATTTCTTCATTTTTAAACCAGTATGACCTAATTATGCTTCTAACCTATAATCAATATTTACCAAGATTATGGATTTATAATCATAATGTAGTTATTAGTAGTTACTAGTCTTTGAGGCTTCTTTACTTCACATATGGCAACCTTTTTTATTAATAAAGTTACATAGCCCCATAGATACATAGATTTTGTGCTGATCGTTAATGGACTCACACCTAAATATTTTTAAACAACAATTGGACACAAGCCTTTGCTTGTTGATTTGCTAAACATTTTTGAATAAAAATATGGTGCAAGCTGACATATTAATTATCTCAGCTGTTGAGAATACTATATATTGACAATAATTATGCTTGCTGGACAATAATTACTAGAAAATGATTAAAAATTATAATAATAAATCTTTATATGGCAATAAATATTCTTTCCATTATTTTGTATAAAATAATAAATACTGCATATTAAAAACTACGTCGGAGTCTAAACCAAGCCATATCGTTAGTAAAAATTAAATTATTTCTATGTGGACCCTGTATAATATAGCAAACACATTGCGATTGTTTAAACTTTTTTCTTTTATTGTCTTAAATTTAGGATTTAAATACTCATAGTGCTTTATTGTTACATTTATATTATATACCAACTTTGCCTTAAAGTATATTTAATGTCTAGATTATTTGATATATGTCTAAACTATTTACTAATGGCAACGATACATATAACACAAAAAGTAGTCAGAATTTTTATATTAAAGAAACTTTTAATTTAATCTTTAATAGATATCTCCCGGAATTAGTCCACCAATAATGTTAATTTTAATATTAGATTGAAAAATATTATTTATTTATTATTATAGTATGAATGCTTTTTTAAATATGATTTTGAGCTCCCTTTCCGATTACACCTTTATCTCATCTATTTTTAAAAGAAAATGTTTTTCCTCTTTTTAAAGAATGGGAAATTTAAAAAAATCTCCTATATTTTACCTCAAGAATAGGGTGGTAAATCCATTACAGTGTTATAAGTCACGAGCTGTGGGTTGACAGATCAAATTTGCTACTATCAATTTCATATCCAGGTAGGTAGTGAGGTTACTGGGGCCGTCCGAAGAAAAACTAAGGTCCATGAGGTAGATTGTGATACCCTTAAAAATTTGTGTCAATGGCCACAAAGCCGCAAGACAAGATAGGACACAACATAGGAAAATAGAATTTATCTCTCTTAGCGAATTCAAAAATGACGACACTAACTAAGAAAGCCCATGTCTTGTGAAAACAGGGCATTGTAACAGAAGGTATATTATTTCATATCTAAAACATTCGTGAAAATTATTTTTCATGCCACGTATGGTATTCCTATTTCTTCAGCAACCTCTCTGTTAGAATAAGTAGTCCTCGCGGCATCTTCAACATCATCGTGTCCACGAATTAAAAATTTGTTAAAAGATTTCTATAAAATTTGGAATGCTTCTCTGTAGTTAAATAGAGTTTAATAAAAATTATCTCTCTAAAACAAAAATAAATCTTCCAACTGATGTTTGATAAATACATACGATACTGGCAGTGCATCCTAAACACAAAAACTGGCTCGAATCCTATTGTCGTTGAAGTATCTATGTCGTCATTTATGATTATGATTATAATTATGATTATGATTATAACTTCTGATATAAAAAGAAAATTATTAAATTCTTATTGATGTGATATTTCGATTTGCAAATAAAGTGTTGTTTTAGTTAATTATTAGTTAATGGGCAGTATGGTTAGTTCTGTCTAAAGTATTGTCTGTTCAAATGATGTTCAAATGACCCTAGTAGCTTTTCATATGTTGTAGACGTACATATCTTGTTATTGTCAGTTGATCATAAAAACATTTCGATTTGTAACACAACCATTAATTTCTAAATTTTTGATTTTAATTATTTACTAATTGCTATTAACATTGTTGTGATTGCTACAATTCTTTCTTTTGTTATTAAGATATATTTAGTAATTTATTTTCATATATGAAGTGAATTTTAAGTCTGATATTGAGCTGCTGACATATGAATTTCATGTTTTTGATTTAAGAATTGTTGTTACACGTATTTATCTCAAGTTAATTATTACTGGGATAATCTCCTAAAGTAAACCTAAATGCAACCTAAATGCAGTTTCAAGTCAAATCTCGAAACTCAACTCGAGACGCAGTTCTGCGCCGAGTCAGTAAACGCGCGTGCACCGATATAAGCAATTATTGTGCAAGCATTTTAATTTTGAATGTCATATTAAGCCGCTGGGATTGTTCAAGTGTGAAACTATTTTCAAATTACTTTTAATTATAGTTTAAACTACCACAAATAAATTAAATTTTAATGCTGAATTTTAATAGATGTGAGAATTACGTTTGCAAAATAATGTACATATAATGTGTAATGTGTGTATGACTGTATGACTTTATGAATGTATGTAGATTGAAACCAGTTGTAAATCTCTTCTGATCGCAACTTAAAAATGTGTAATGAAATGCTGTTACCAATAAACGCATTTAAATGACATATATGCTGGTTCCAGACCCAATATGGAAACTCTTCATCAATGAACAAATGCTGAGGCCGCTTGACGTTTTGTGAATAGCGTAAGCATTCGAGAGTGTTAAGCGCGCTTATCTTAATCGTCTCATTGGCACACTTATTAAGTGCTGAAATAATTACATGTCGACGGGCGGCAATCGTCCCCCTCGCGCAATGCTTCCGTTTAGAGATACATTATTCATACTTGAATTTAAATGAGTTGCCCATACTAATACAAACAGACTACGTCAGCAATGAGTACGCTGTACGCTACTGCCTCGATTACAATAGCACAAAGAAAACGATCGTTGCTCGATCGTTGCAGTGCTGCAGTGTTGCAGTGTTGCAGTCACACTGGGTTTGGAAAAAAGCACTCCGCATTTAGTCATATGCAAATGATACGCTCGCATTGAAAATGTTAACAAAACTAGATCCACTTAATACACCGGCCGACGCTCGGCGTTAATTACATAAATACGAATTTATTTGTCTTTATTGTTTGTGAATTT